CAAATTAAGAATTCTATTTATTTAGCATGAAAGACAAAAATCATTAAAAATTAGGGCCAAATAATATACACAAAGTTTATTGCATGATGAATGAAATGTGAAGGAGGAAAATTAATGAAATAGATTGCTTTAACAATATGATAAGAGAACATTTTTTAAAAGAGGCATAATATTAAAAGAGTGTTTAAACATTACATGGATCATAGATGCGATATTGATACTGAAATTATTAAAATTGATTTGTAAAAGAAACAAGATAATATTTCTGGAGTTTAGTTGAAGGTATTGAACTTAACACTACCATTATCACAGAATGCTGTAAAAATTACTTCAGCATATCTCCTATGGTACATAATCATTTGTTTGTGAATCATTGCTGAATTTTATTAGTTATTATGCTGTAAAAGTACCCAAACAATCAAAAATGTTTTGTTTTCTTAAAGGAAACTGAAATATTTTGAAAGGGGCTTCCTGCTGCCGAGGAATCCCTCAAGAATATTATAAGTAAGTTTATCTTTATAAATATAATTTTTATAATTCTTTTTATTTAATTCATTATCCTTTTTATGAGGTATCATGGGTTAAAAATATCAATATTATTTCTATTCTTATAAAACTGCAACCTAATACATTATAAAAACATTTTACAGGTACATTGACTATAACTCAGATTTAACAATCTTATTTAATAAATTTATGTCTTAATTTTATTAAAAGAATGAATCATTCATAGAAAATTAAATATGGTTAGTTAAAAACATTTTCTCATTTTTAAATTTTATTTAGGTAACAATTAAACCATAGGATATTCATCCATAAATATAAAGGTAATCACCACAGTTTCTATGATAGTACATATATAATAATAAATTTAGAAAATATATTTCTACTCTCATGTTTAATAAAATTTTTGATTTTATTATGTACAAATGTTTTAAAATTTCTCCCCATCCAAAACAATTTATTAAAATTTGAAACATAAATGAATTAAAATTATAATGAATTATGAAAATATTATTTAAATCTATTGATAATCTTAGGAGAAACAAAAAGTTTCAAAAAACCTTTAAATTCTATAAAAAATAAATAAATAATGAAGTTTTTAGTAAGGATCTTTGATATGGACAATCTAAAGAGTGAGAATCCTTTGCATTTACTATATAAAGATAGATCTGATTTCTATAATAATAAAAAATCCCCTGCTTATGCCCTTTACTACAATTATAAATTTCTTAATATGAATATAAAATATAATTGTGAGATGTATAGGATCAGAAAAAGCTTTAGTTTTTTACATATGATAAAGGGTGTTATATCTAATAAAATATTGGGTGTAAAGCACTTTGTAGATGAAAGAAATGCTAGATTGTATAAATTTTTATCTACAGAAGATGCAAAATTTCTTATGAAAGAATCTTATAATATTATAATGAACAGTAATCCAATAGTGGTATTTTATAATAATTTTATAAGGGGAGAAATAGAAATAGATGATTTAACAATAAGTCTTTTAAAGCATATGAGTGATAAATACACAAATGATCCTATAATTAATCAAGGACTATTTTCTAGACTTACAATAAGAGAAATACAAGAAACAAGAATTAATTCATATAGTGACTTTGAAAAAATCAAGATCAATGATATTTTTTATGTTTTACAGAGAGAAATACTTTTAAAAAGGAAACATTTTATTGATTATCAATTATCAAAAAGAATTTTTATAGCAATGAAAAAAAGAGACATGAAATTACTTACCAAATATTTATTTTATTTTCCAGCCAGTCTCAGTGATAAGCAAAGGAGAACATTAAAAATATTTTTTACTTTTATTAATAAAATAGTTAATTCAGAGTGTTACAAAAATAGAAGAGAAGTGGTATATAATAATGTATTTTCATTTTTATTTTCAATTGATCTGATAAATAGTTATGAAGAAATAAAATATGC